ATAAAGAGAGTAAACTGTAGTTGGTAAAAACTGCAATAAATTGAAAAAAATGAATATAATCAAACCTTTGCTTCAACAAATTAAAAATTCGCATTACAATGAAACTTGTTTCAACGAATTATAAATTCGTGTTATAATGAAACTTGTTTCAACGAGCTATAAAATTGGCATTACAATGAATTATAATTAACAAATTTTTAAACACATAATATAAAATTCGTGAAACGTGATTAATAACGGGTTTTGTTAGATGCAATTTTCTTATAAACAAAGTTTGGCTGTAAATAAATAATTAAAATATATTTTTTTACTTATCTCTTAATTCATTTAATGTTAGTTTCTGTTAAAATAGTTCCCTCTGATTCATCAACATCATCATTGAGATCTTTGACTTGTTGCAGAATTAGTAATAAATTATCTTTTTTTTTTGATGATAAGTTTTTAAACTGTGGCCGATTATTTTCATTCAAGGAACCAATCAATGTATGAATTACATTTAATAATTCTTTCTTTGTCATTGATTGTTCACTCAAATATTTTTCTTCTTCTTCAAAGGTAACTGGAATAGGGCGAAAACTTCTTTCTGGTAATCCATTTGAGTTCAGTTTCTCATTTATATAATTTCTTCGGCGATATTGAGCCATGCTGCTAAATGATTTCATACCTTCACTTAATTTATTACTTCCATCTAAACTCTCAAAAACAGGAACAAGTTTAAATGGATTTAAGAAATCTTTCTTCCTTAATTCTACACGAAAACATTGTGATTCTTTCTCAAAAGATTGTTTTGAATGAGGACCTATACTCTCTTGATCTGTATATCCAATAGTAGCAAGCAATTTTTTTCTTAACTGCCAGCCAAAAGAAGGTTTGTAAATATTAAAAAAATATATAAAATATATTAATATTAAGATTATTAATTTTTTAAGATAACTTACCATAATGAATTTCATGCAATTTCTTGCTGCAATTATCCAATGCTTTTGATTTGGCACAGGTGGAATAAGTGTTTTCAGTGACTTATTTATTTCTTCAAGTATAGCATCCAATCCTTGATGTTGATTTAACCATCCTGATCTCGAAACAACTGAATTTTTCTCAATCAGTTGACGAATTTCAGGACAAAGACGTAATAATTGTTCCTCATCAGTCAATTCAATTAATCTATAAATGGGGTGTCTCCTTGCAGACCAAATTGGAGCAAACATTCTACGAGCAGCAGCTTTAAGTGAAGGTTGATTAGTTCTAATGCTTACACGAAAATTAATTATTGCCTGTAAGTAACAAAAGATCTGAAATTGAGAAAATATTTTTATTAAGAGTCATTTATTTTTCAAAAAAAAAATTTTAAATAGTAAGAATAATAGAATTACCTGCTCATATTTTAACTTGTATAATTCATCTTTTTGGTCTTTGACCCAGCTGAGATATCCATCAACACAAGGATTGGAAACAGTAGTAACATAAGGCCACACTAATTCCATAGC